TAAGAAAGTTTCAAATAAGATCCCATAACAATACCTCAAACATCTTATCATGCATTTCCCTCTGATAGTAAATCGAAATCATTTTATCAAAGAAAATACGTGGAGTACTTTCTAAATTGTCTGAAAATATTTTCATCCACAGCTCCTCAGCTTCATCAAGCCTGTCATCCTCTGCTAAAGCATTCAATAAAGTGAAGTAGGTTCCCATTGTCCTACCTTGACCTTTGCTTAACATCCACTTTATCACCTATAAAAAACCATTAGTATTTTTGTTGAAATAGTTAGCTCCTTTATGCGCAAAGCCAACAAATAAAAGAAAGGGAATAGGAATCTCAACAGATAAAAAGAAAGAGAGACAGAAGAGATTTTATTTATGATAACTATAATTACCTGAATTATTCTCTTCCATTCTTTTTCATCCTCAAGGATCTTCAATGCTTTCTTGACTGTAATTAGAGGGAACTCTAATTCCCAAGCAATAATGGAATCAAGAGAACCATAGACCTCCTCTTTGACATTGGATAATCCTTTAATCTACATAAGCACAGCCATAATGACATCATTATCTCACCCAATTCCGAGCACAAACCAATTAGTTCACAATAACGAGGGTACACAAGAAGAACTTACACAATTAACAAGCTTCACCGACTTAGAGATAGTTCCGATTCTCCTCCTTGATTTCCATACCCGAGGATATCTTGGTCGTGGACCTTTTGCAGCACATACCTGAAATTATTGACCATGGCAGGATTAGGGAAGTAATGCAAGAAAAAGATAACAAGACCAATAATGAAAAATAAAAATTTATTCAAAATCATAAACTATCATAAAATTTTCAATTGTTATTCATCATTCTATAATTGCCACTCATTTAAACCTCAGATACCATACAGATTCAACATGAACCAAAAAAGATACACACAATAAAATGTAAAACAAAATTTTCATCGAAATGCTTACCACAACATTGCTTGTCTCCCGGGAAATATTAATCGAATCGAATCCTTTAATAATAAGTGGCAATGAATATCTAAAACCAAGCATCCTGAGGAAGAGGACCAAAAGGGTTTTGATTAGCTTCTAAAACATGAACTGCAGAAAATCAATTACTGCAGAAATGATTTTCTTGCTCTAGAACCTAAACAAATTGAGTCCCAGAGAAACGAGTACTCTTAACATGGTGAAATTTTCTGCTTTCTGCATCCAATTTTTCTTGCACTACTTGCAAACATGTGAATTAATGAAATAACTAACTGAAAAAAAGACTGCAAAGAGTTCCGACCGCAGGAACAGGAATAACTAACTCGGAAGTTCATCACTTTTCTCGGCAGCCAAACGCCAACTTATGAGAGGGAGGGAGAATTACCGGTTCGTAAGTAGAAGAAACAACTAATTTCGATGGCGAGGACCTGATAAACTGCAGTAGAAAATTTGTTATCGAATTTGCGTTTTCCCTGGATTTTTCCCTCTCCTATTCTCTGAAAATCTGTGTTTTTCCCTCAATCCAAACAGTCCAAAAGGGACATAACAGAGCCATACGACCGCGCTTGGAGTAGAAAAATGGTTTAATACCCAATTTGGTCCCTAAACTTTCATTTCTGAACTTAGTTCGTCCTTTAACTTCAGAAAGCACCCAAAGTGTCCTTAAACTTTAATTTTCCAGAACCCAAATGGTCCTTCCGTCAACGGAATTGCATATTTGGCACGTTAAGTCTCCACCTATTACCTCTTTTAATTTTCACAAGCTTACCTGGAAAAACACCACACACACATGGCACCAATTTCATTCCACGTCACATTTCTATCTCTCTCACCTTATGGAAAAGAAGGAATCAAGTTTGATCTAAAACACTCCTGAACTGGCTCGCTTTCTTCTTCCAGATCTTCACCCAAATCCTCAGGTCGGTGGGTCACCATCAGCTTCTGTCCTCGTCGTCGTCTTCAACCACCGTTTCAAGCCCTTGCCCGTCGTTGACTCACCGAAGATCGAGTCTCCTTTGGTGGTTGAGATCGTCGCCGTTTTCAACTCCGTCACCACCGTTACCGAGGAGAAAATCGAGAAACTCATGGTAAGGATGGAATCCTTTAAAGAAAAAATTCTGAAGTCCACAGTTACAACCAGCAGGATTGCAAGATTATCGACAAAATTTACTTAAAGAAAAAAAAATCTTTATGATCTAAATACATTAATGTTTTGGACTACTGGAAATTGGATAGGAGATGAACATATTAATGCTTTGATATCTTTCATAGCTTTCATCAACAATTTCAGAACGCAAATGCTATACAACGGTCAAGAATTCAGTAAGAATACTGCATTTCAGCAACAAAGCTAGTATGGATTGTACAAGGAATGGAAGAATAGTAGGCTGCAACTACAACTTATCGTAGACTTTCCAAGTAGAAGCAGGGATACCCTGTTTTTGAAACCATTCAGGCATGTGATGTAATGTAAGGAACCTTGTCTGAAGACATGTATTCAAGTTCAAACCACTTCAATCCAACTTCTGTTGCTTGATTACGAAGAGCAAGAGGCAGAGTAGAGGTCTCATATGCACATACTAGAGTTTCATCCAAGTCAAGAACTACCTATAGGTGCACACATCTTAGACCCAAAAATATTGTCAAGCAATGGTTGGCATATGTTGGGGAAAGCAAAAATTCCAAACCAAAATGCTTATAACACTTTATCTAACGCAATCTAGGTTGGCATGCTTTTGGCTAACGACTTTTATGCTTATTAACAGAACAGAACAGAACTTCCACATCTGAATTCCAAGCACATGACATTACAAATTCTATGGTTCTATTCACTCCAAATCTAGTCCAAGTACACTCATAATCTCTAAATTTCCAAAGTATAATTAGCGCAACTTTAAATGAAGCCCGCTCTCCACATTTTGAACATCTATGCAAATAGCAGAATTCAGTTTGAAGTCTATGCAATTATGGGATTGAGATACATAAGCACACATATAGTAACACGACTTTGAATTCTTGCATATTCTTAGCTAATTACGTTAAGCCAAGTACCAATATAAATAAAATAAAACATTTCTCCTAGAATCTCCAATAAAGCTGAATTCTTTAACCTAAATTTGCCCCATAATTTCAGGTAGAAATGGCTCTTAAAAATCAAAACAACACAGAAGAACCATTTTTTCCATCACGTAATTAACTGGGAACATTTTCATATTGCGTAATTAAATTATTTAAAGGATTCCATCCTTACCATGAGTTTCTCGATTTTCTCCTCGTAACGGTGGTGGCGGAGTCGAAAACGGCGGCGATCTCAACCACCAAAGGAGACTCGGTCTCCGGCGAGTCAACGATGGGAAAGGGCTTGAAACGGTGTGCTGAAGAAGACGACGAGGATAGAAGCGGATGGTGACCCACCGACCTGAGGATCTGGGTGAAGATTTGGAAGAAGAAAGCGAGCGCGCTAAAGAAGATGACGATGACGACAAGGACAGAAGTGGATGGTGACCCACCAACCTGAGGATCTGGGTGAAGATCTGGAAGAAGCGAGCGAGCCAGTTCAGGAGTGTTCCAGATCAAACTTGATTCCTTCTTTTTCCCAAGGTGGGAGAGACAGGAATGTGACGTGGAATGAAATTGGTGGCATGTGTGTGTGGTGTTTTTTCCACGTAAGCTTGTGAAACTTAAAAGAGGTAATTGGTGGAGACTTAACGTGCCAAATATGCAATTCCGTCGACAGAAGGACCATTTCGGTTCCGGAAAATTAAAGTTTAAGGATGCTTTGGGTGCTTTCTGAAGTTAAAGGACGAACTAAGTTCAGAAATAAAAGTTTAGGGCCCAAATTGGGTATTAAACCTAGAAAAATTAGTACTACAGTAAATGGTAAAAGTGTAAGGGATATATTTTATGTTATGTCCCTAAATTTCTGAGATTGGTTCAATAAAGTTTCCAACCTATTAATGATTGCAAATGTAACTATATATATATATATATTTTTTTAAGGAATAACTGTCCATTTAATCTTTTCTCTGGTGCATGTGATATGAATGGGAACCATTTATTTTGGCTTTTCCAAAATTCATCCTACTATTTTAAGAGATTGTTGTTTTGTAACATGAGTTATTTATATTATACATCACTTTTTTTGTTATTTTAATATTCAATTTAAATTCCTAAACTTTTGTTGGTCAAGATAGTTGTCTGTTGGGGAATAATACTCTGTTTAATTAATAAAGTTATTATAAGATGTTTAGCTAAGATTAAAATATGGTCAAAGTGAAAATTTCCTCTCCTTTTTACCCATTTGGCGATCTAAGGGACTAGATTGCAAATCATCATAAAAAAAGAAGTATGATAAAATGAAACATATCCATATACCATAGAGCTAGAACAGTTAAAGCATTAAACTCATAATTTGTGTACTTGGGTCTAGCATATTATCCCATAAAGCAGAATGATAGGTCACATTACCAACTATTTGAGGAGATTGCTGAGTCAACATTCAAAAAATGGTGAAGATGCTGGACTTACATCTGCAAAAACTACTGAGCCCATTATTGAGGTATATGGAAACGCTTTTTAATTGCACAAGCTCATCCAGATTCCAGAGGAATTGCTTTTAATGCGTTAATTTTTATTTACTTTTAGAAGCTTTATGCTTGTTATCACTCAGTTATGTGTATGACCGTATGAACTGCCATATCCAAGTAATTAATCCTAGCAGAGTCAAAGCTCCTTGATAAGAACGAGTCTAAATTCTTGAGTGCAGTACATGTTAGGGTATTTTGTGTGAGAGTTATTATGTAGAGCCTCAGTAGTTAGAAGTAGCGTTATCATCAATATAAATAGTTTTCACACCTTTAGTATAGGAGTTTAAACTTGTTCCCCCCCTCTCCATCCCTCTCACAAATTTGAATCACTTGTTTTATTACATTAAAAAAAGAAAAAGAAAAAGAAAAAGAAAAAGGATAAGAGCTATCATAAAGTAGTTGGTGGTAATAATTGCTATACCATTCAGGCAATTAATCCTAGTAGAGTCAAAGCTATTTGATGATATCAGTATAATTTCTTGTGTATTCATTTTGGGCTGAAGAATGCCATGTTCTATATAGAGTGAGAGCAGTCATAAAATAGTTGACAGTCATGACTGTTATACTATTCACCTAGATTGCTGCTACTGGACTTGTATGGTATTACTATAATACCAGTTATGTGCCAATTCTTCTGACAGTGAAAAAATGGAAGCGTGCTGTTTGCAATTCTTACTGCAGCTTACCGCCCAACTAACTCAATATATAATCACGCTACCGTAGGCGATTAAGATGTTAAGGGTAAAGATATTCATTTTGGTTCAATGTCTGAGGCTTTGAGCACTATATTTATGCTATAACTCAAGATAAGAGGCATGTTGGGAGCCAGTGGTTCATGCTAGCTCAGTCAATCTAAATTCATCCTACATTATATATTGCTAGACAACTTTTGATTGCATCTTAATTTTCATTTTTTCAGGCTACCCTCAGAGTATAGCCCCAAGAGACAACTTAATGACATATTTCCCAAGGATACATTAAAAGCCACGACATAGAAACAGGCACATCAAAATGAATTTCAGAGTTTTTCATTGACCATATCCAGCACAATTCTGATTGCATTGAGCATCTTAACACTTTAATGTACTAGTTATTAGTATCATATCAAGAAAATATTGTGCAGTCTGAATTATGTCGAATTTGCCCAACTCCCATCTTATTAGGGCTTTTCCCCCTTTCAATGGTCCTGTTTTACATTACAAACTGCAAACAGGAGAGGACTCATATCACATTCCTCCACTAAATGCGTGTTTCATACACCAATTGTGCAGCCAAGAGATCAACAACAGCAGAACCAACAGATTTAAACAAGGTAATCTCCTCAGAATTCCTCCTGCCACCCTTCTCCCCCTTAATCAACTCCACTAAATTCCCCAGAATTTCCTCCTTCTCAATCACCCCTCTCTCCATAGCACCCACCAGCTCCCCAGCCTCCACTAACGCCGCCTCATTATCCACATACACTCTCGCTCTCCTTATTGCCTCATCGTCACACTCCCTCATTGTATGCGTGAATGACCCAACCAAATCCAGATGCGCCCCCGCCTTCAGCTTCTCCCCTTTCACCAGCGGTACTTCAGAGTTCGTCGCACAGCTGATGATATCACCCAATTCAACGATTTCCTCCAATGATTCGTTGCTCTCAAAACGGATACCATCATGCTCGCCGCAATTCCGCAGATTTTCGGCCAATTCACGTGCTTTTTTCATCGTTCTGTTCCAGATTATCACCTTCTGCAAACTGGGATTTGCGGCTAAGTGGCCTTTGATTAGGTGGGGAGCTAGAGCTCCTGCTCCGATCATGACAAGGGTTTTGCTGTCGTTTCTAGCCAGGATTTTTGAAGCTAGGCCGGATACCGATGCAGTTCTGTAAAGGGTCAGTAGCGTTCCGTCCATAGAGGCTAAGGGTTGGCCGGTGGTGGAACTGAAGAGGACGAAATTGGCGTGGATGCCGGGTAAGTTGACGGTCGAGTTTTGTGGGAAAGAGGTGACGAGCTTGACGCCCATGTAGGGGAGAGATGGGGAAGAGGACCAGGAAGGCATGAGGATAAGGGAAGAGATTGGTGAAACAGCGTAGTTTGGTCGAATTGGGGCTTGGATTGCGGAGGAGACTGCAGGGAGAGAGGTGTGGAAGTGTTGGATTAGGGTGTGGTGGGAAAGCACGGCTTGCAGCGTCTCGGAGGAGATGAAGATTTGGCTTGTTTCAGGGTTTCTGGGCTTTTCGTCATTAGTGGGATTTGGTTTTGAAGCCATTACCGAGAGGGTTGAGGTCGGAAATGGTGATTGATGAGAAGGGAGATACTGGGAGAAAATAGGAAGAGGCGACCTAGACTTTCTCAGAGGACACCATTCATATGTTCTTATGTAAAATAATGCTAACTATCGAGATTGAATGGAAAAAAATTTAATTTTTTTAAATAAAATTTTAAATTTAAATTTTATAAATAAAAAAATAAACGTTTAAAAGTGAAAAAAATATATATATAATACAATTTAAACTCCAAATTAGGTAGGTCCAATTTAACTTTCTAATGTTGAAGGTTTGTAAAGGAGAAAAAAGAAAATCGTAGATTAATTAGTAAAGAGATTTGCTTTCATTTTATTTATAATGGTTCGATTTCTGAAGGACCAATAAAAAGGCGCTATGACTATCTTTAACTGGACAGAGGCCGGATTGCACTAACCATACTCGAACACAACCTGGCTGCTAAGAAAAATTGTTCTTACAGAATGGTCCAAGTTTAACCTCTAAACCTCATGTTTAACGATAGCGTTATTTAAAAAAAAAAAAAAAGAAGAAATTATCAATTCAAATTGTTAAATGCTAACCTCAAACTTTTGGATCAAACACCTCCAAATAACTGTTTGAACTTTGAATAGAGATTTAATACAAGTGATAAGAAAACTATTATTACTTTTTTTTAAAAAAAAAATTATGTTTAACTTAACTCAATTCTACATTAATTGCCTTCAATATAATTTGTGGATATTGAAAGGTTTAGTATAAAAAAATAAATAGTGAAATAACTAGAGCCATTACTAAAGAAAATAAGTAAACTTATGTACAAAACAACTTTACAATCTTATATAAAAAAAAAACCTCTAAATCATCTCTTTAAATAAAGGTTTAATAGAAGTGATAAAACAACTAAAATTACTTCATAAAAACTTGTGTTTGTGTTTTCGCAAAAATCTTCCTTTTGGTTATCGCGAGGTAGATCAATGTAGATGTACCACTTATTTTATCTAAAATAAGAAAAATGGATTTTCTTGACAACCTTATTCTTTTAAATAGTCAACTTCCATGTGAGATGGTTGAAAGAACATTAATTATTTGTTAAAAATATGCCTCAAATTAAATTAGATGATGTTGCAAGAAAGAAAAATGCTTTCAAAGCAAAATGAGTTACAAATTTGTCTTGAATAGATCCAAGAACTTCCCACATTTAAGGCCACCATAAAGTTTGTTAATTAAGTAGAATAAAAAAGAAAAAGAGAGCTTGCAAAAAATAAAATTGCATTGCAAAACTATAAGGTAGATTAAGGCTAAAGTGAGCTACAAATTTTAGAATAGTAAGCAAATCTAAGTAAACAACTACTGGTAAATTTTAACTAAACAATTTGTAGGAATGTAAATTGAGCATTTTGAGAATAAAATAAAACTTTGCAACATAAAGTAATGAGATTATATTAACTATAATGAATCTATTTATAGAATTGAAACTTGATTGCATTGACAATTAAAATATACTGACAAAACTACTAATCTAGAAGAAATCCTATGAAGACCAAGGGACAGATTCCACATAAAACAACTAAAACTTAAAACCAAAAAGCTTGAGAGCTAATCTCCTAACCTAGAAGCTAAGAGAGAGCTTGACTAAGGCATTTTGTTGTGTTGTTTTGTGTTAAGAGGGGCAATTTGAATGTGTTGTATCTTCATATTTTTAGTAGAGAAATCCCCAAAAGTCGGTTGGTTGTAATCACCCACAAGATAGTTGTGAAAAATGTGTTCAAACTGCCTATTTTGACTAGACATGTTAGCAACAAACTTAATCAAAGATTGCTCCAAAACTCGTCACCTGTCTACCACTTCATCAGATTAGCCTCCCACGTCTCCCAGTTGCTGCACTTGGCCAATAACTTCCTCAAAAATCCAACCATTATCCCAACTAAAAACAAATAATACTATATTATTAGGAGATAGTTACCAACAATTGCTAATATAATATTTTATGTGGCAATCATAAGCAAGATTTGTCATTTTTCACATCATATCAAAATCAAATCTGTGGTTAATCGCAACCACTTGTCTCAATTACATGACATGTGACATCATCTAATAATTTTGCAATTAATGTAGATCTGGTAAAATTGGACCCAATCTGAAAATTTGATATAGCCCATACGTTATGGGTAAGATCATGGGTCCTATATGTTAATACGAAATTTGAAATGAGCCGGATTGAAATGAGTCGGATTGAAATTACCCGGATTGAAATTACCCAAACCCAAATGGGTTGGGTCATAGGTGAGTCGGGTTATCCGAAATTATCTTAACTTTTTTTATTCATTTTTTATTACATTACTTAAAAATTAATTTTAAATTTCTAATTTTCCAATCCTAAAAATAGAAATAAATAAAATATCCAAACCTTAACCTCCCATCAATTTCACTCTCTCTATAATCCCAACTAGCTACCCAAGAGGGGGGGTGAATTGGGTCTTATCAATTCCTAAGATATAATACTCATTTCTTTTCTTTTATAAAAACGTGAATGAAGTTTTCAATATATATAAAATCTGTTGTGCAAAATAAAACAAAGATCAACTGCAATCTCGCAAATAAAGTGCAGAAAAATAAAACGAAAGGAAAGAGAATATCAAGCCGTGATTTATAGTGGTTCCTCTAATCCGGAGTACGTCCACTCTCTAAGCCTCCTTACTCGAGAGTTCAATCCACTAGGATTCTCTTGCTTACGGGTGCAAGATTAAATCAGAACAAATTCTTGCTTACGGGTGCAAGATTAAACCCTCACAAGTGAATCTCAACTCACTCAACCCCTTCAAGGATTATCCCAATCCAAGAAGAATACAAAACCCTTGTAAGACAATTAACCCAAAATCTCACAAGAAGAAGAAGAAGAAGATCCATAACAGTTTCAAAAACAAACTCTATTTTTCTGTATCACTAGAGCAGTTCGTTCTTTGGTAATTTTAGATTTGATTTTTGATGTTCTTATAATAGTTGGTTGGGAACCTTGCAATTAAAGCCCATTTAGCCCTTCAAAGTCACCTCACAATTGCTCCAATTAGATTCCACATTTTTCTTCTTACTTGTCTTGGAAAGTGCTCAGACAATTGGATCCCCTATGACCCATTAAGAATAAACGGATAGTTGAGTTGTCAAAATTTAATCTTCCAAAATTTTTGCTTCGAAGCCAAAAATATTGGTTCAAATCAAATCTAATTGATTTGAACCTAGAACTCTAAACAAGGAGGATATGAATTAATTATAATCGTGGGGAAAAAGATTAGAATCCTTGAATTAATTTTTTTGCACACTTAGCACAAAAATAAATTAAACTCTTTTGAATCGTGATTTTAAATCATCATCAAAATACAAAGAGAACCTAACATTCTCAACTTTTCCTCTTCTCCACTCTCACTCTCCCTTTCTTCATCTCAAGCTCTCTAATCTTTCTCTTTGGTTGCACTCACGTAAAAAATTAGATT